TTTGGAAAGCTCTCGAGATGTGCTATAAGAATATGCAATGAAAAATGGGGTGTTCCATTTAAAAAAATTAATGTGACCTTGACCTGACCTTCGCTACGCAACCCAAGGTCAAACTGATGTGATCAGTAAATATATCTTTTTAAACGCCACAACTTTTGTCTGAAACATTTTTTTGTAAAACTTATATTTTTCCTGATATTCGGGCGTCCCGGTACTTTCCGAACACCCTGTATATTATATCATTTGTATAAAATATTAAAATTATTAAAAACGTAAGAAATAACATTAAGAAGTCTACTTTTTGTATTATTCCGTGTGATCCGCTTTCGTATTCCGCTCCATGGGACACAAGGAAAATAGAAAAAAAGAAAAGCGGAAGAAAAGCAGAATGGCTGTGATTGGTCGTGCTACTCCGCACGTTCTGTTTTGCTGAAAATTTCTGCTCCGTGGGACGGCGCCCTAAGACGGTCTTGAAATAAAATTGGACTATGAATACCGGCCATAGACCAGTGCTAGGCGATATTTTCTAGATGACATGCGCATGCGTGAAATGACGGGAGCGTCCGGATTGACCACAGTACGATTGAGGGACGTCTACATTGGAAGTAAGCAGTAAGAAGTAAGAAGTAAGAATAAGAAATTGACCAATCATAGTTGATTATTCTTCTCACATTCGACTGTGGTTGGTCAATTTCTTACTCTTACTTCCTACTTCTTGCTATTTACTTCCAATGTAGACGTCCCTTTGGACACAACCAACCGATGAAAAGAATTATCTAGTGAATTACTAGGTCGAACCAATCATTACAATCTGTGTCCAATCGTATCGTGGTCAATCGGGTCCCATCCTGAAATGACGTAGCAGCTCGACGTAAGCAGTTTCTAATGACGGTATTAAGCCCATTCTACAATTGCGTAAGCGTAGTCGTGAACGTGAGTCAATCCGAATGTTTTATTCACTGATTGCTTTAAGGGACGTCTACATTGGAAGTAAACAGTAAGAAGTAGGAAGTAAGAATAAGAAATTGACCAATCATATTTAATTATTCTTCTCACATTCGACTGTGGTTGGTCAATTTCTTACTCTTACTTCCTACTTCTTGCTATTTACTTCCAATGTAGACGTCCCTTTGGACACAACCAACCGATGAAAAGAATTATCTAGTGAATTACTAGGTCGAACCAATCATTACAATCTGTGTCCAATCGTATCGTGGTCAATCGGGTCCCATCCTGAAATGACGTAGCAGCTCGACGTAAGCAGTTTCTAATGACGGTATTAAGCCCATTCTACAATTGCGTAAGCGTAGTCGTGAACGTGAGTCAATCCGAATGTTTTATTCACTGATTGCTTTAAGGGACGTCTACATTGGAAGTAAACAGTAAGAAGTAGGAAGTAAGAATAAGAAATTGACCAATCATATTTAATTATTCTTCTCACATTCGACTGTGGTTGGTCAATTTCTTACTCTTACTTCCTACTTCTTGCTATTTACTTCCAATGTAGACGTCTCTTTACTCTGATAGGTGTCGTAATCACTTACAACCTCTTACAACCGGGTGTATATCAGTTGGACACAGGGCAATTGGACACAGTCCAATCACAAGTCGCTGTTCCAAGGGACCCTACAAATGTCTCTAATCACACGGTGCTGTGATTGGCTGTGTCCAAATGCACCGTGTCCAAGTGCACCGCTCCCCTTACAACCACGTTCACGCAATTGTAGAATGGACTTTAGGCGAATAGAGGGTTCTTAGGGGACATGCACAAAATACTCGGCCGTCTGTCTGTGTGTTTACCCGCGAGTGGTTAGGTTAGATAGGTAGTGAAATGATATAATAATAAATTAGTATAATTAATATAGTTATAATAATTAGTATAGCTATGTAAAATGTGATATTATAATATGTATATATAGTATATATTAATAAATAAAATGTGATAAAAAAGTGCAATTTTAATATAAAGTGATATTGTGATAAAGAAAAGTGCAATTATAATATTAAGTTAATTAAAGAAAAAAGTGCCGTATTGAAGAAAGAAATGGAGAAATCAACATTAGCCTTCGTCAAGTGGCATCGAGGCAAAGAAGAGGAAATGCGAGAAGAAAATTTCAATGTGCATGGTTAAATATGAATATTTTCAAAGATTGGTCGGCTGCAGAAATTACGAAATAAAAAATATATTTATTTTTACTCATGAACAGCATTCTGTTTCTTCCTACAAACTTTCTTTTCTCCCTACAATCCCTTCATGTTTTCTTTTAGGTGAGGGATCTTACGATACCTTAAAATAGATACGGCGCTGAGGTTACCACAGAGTTTGCTCAATGCGCGTGCGCGAACATATATCGCGAACTCCCAGCACTGCCATAAGGTTTGTTCTTTCGACCTGACTTAGGGTTGCACTGGAACTGTACTAGTTGAAGAAAGTTCAAGATAGTGCAGACCAGTGCAAAGATACATATGGGTCTGAAAAGAACGGGTAAGAGCAAGTTAGAGCAGTGTAAGATGGCGGACAACATGGCTGGATTAAATAACATAGATCAATTTATGGTCATGTTTTCGCACTTATAGCATTTTATGTTTTGTTGAACAATCCTATTTCTTTTAAAAACTGTTTTGTGTTGGATACCCATACAACAAATCCCTCCGAAAAAACGTCCAAGAGCCTTCCCAGGATGTCTTTCGGATATTTTGTGCTGTTTGGATAACATTCTAAATACTTCTTTTATGTCATTCTACATTATATATTTATTATATATTTATCTACATTATATATTTATTATATATTTAAGTATTTACTTACTGTTTATAGATTCCGTCGTCGGATTATTTCTTCTACGTAATGTCAACTAGGTATACTGATTTTACAGGTTATAGATACAAATTTAAATTTTTTCGGTTAGCTGCCCTGCACTGCTTGCTCTACCTCCAGACCTAGGGCAGTCAGTTCACTGAACTCGCTGCACTAGTTCAGCCTGCACTGTTCGAAAGAACACATTTTCTTGCACTGTTCTGATCGAAAGAACGCATTAGTGCAAACTTCGTGAACTAGTGCAGCCAGTTCAGGTCGAAAGAACAAACCTCTAGGGCAGTCAGTTCACTGAACTCGCTGCACTAGTTCAGCCTGCACTGTTCGAAAGAACACATTTTCTTGCACTGTCTGATCGAAAGAACGCATTAGTGCAAACTTCGTGAACTAGTGCAGCCAGTTCAGGTCGAAAGAACAAACCTATAGACATCTGTGGCTGAATGTGACTATTGGGTAAATGTGATTCGTCGAAGTGTGTTATGAATTAAAAAAATAGATAATTGTTTTATTTAAATCTCTTTAAACTTAAATTATTATAAAAATATAATTAATTGATTCCTTTTTGCGCGTAGAAAAACGTCGAAAAATTAAAATTAAGAAAGAATTTTTTTTTTAATGTGTATATAGGTTAAAGCTAAAGACAACCTGAGTTAGGTAATTTCATTATTATTATGTACTGTATATTTATTATTCAAAGTTATTATGAACGACAAGACATGTTTTTATAAAAAAAAAAGGAAAGCAAAGAATACCTCAAAAAATCATGACAATAAGCCATGTAAGTACTGTATTATTTTATTACACATTTTATATTTTCTCACATTTATTATTACTTTCTATATCTTGTGCATGATTCGGTACAAGGAAAAGAATTGTTAATTTTAATTTTACATAAAGATAATGAATATTAATGGTTAAAAATAGATGAATAGCAAAAAAAAAAAAATAAAATATCTAAAGAATAGAATATTTTATTCTGTATTTTATACATATGTCTATATGTAAATTTAAATAAAATACTTTACAAATGCTATAATATTATTTTAGGTCAGAATAAAAAAAATCTTAGCTCTGATAATCTTGATGTCGGTAGACATGCAGACATTCCATATTATGGATGGAGATTGTTTTTTCCTGATAAAGGTATTATTTAATCAGTGAGAAGTAATAAAAAAATATTGTTAGATACATGAGATCTTATGTAATAATAAATGATTTGCACAGAGTATAAAGTTAATGGTGCTATTACAAAGCAGATTAAAGCTATAGAAAGATTTGTAGAAAGACATCAAGCTTTATCTTCTTTGCTCACAATGACAAATTTGGAGGCAGGAATGTCATTTGACATTGACATCTGCGAATTGTATAATGACAGTGAGTTTATGAATCAATGGCCAAATTTTAAAGATGAAATATATGAAAATCCAACAAATGCCTTAAATTGTATGAAACTTGGCATTCATCAAGTATGTTTATTATTGTATATAAGTGTATATATGTGTATATATGTGTATATATGTGTATATATATGTATATATATATATATATATATATATTTCATAATATTTTTATATTTATTTAATTATAGTGAATTTTGTTCTGTTTTAGTGGCAAAACTCTTAATTCTCACTCTATTGTAATTGTTTCTGCTGTAAATATTTTGTTTTATGGTTTTAGAAAATTTTGGAGACAATACCAGAGGAAAATTTAAAGTATGTCCTGAAATCTATTAACAGTTTACCAACAATTAAATTAGGTCTATTGAATTATCAACCACTTATAAGTTTACGAGATCTTAAGCTAAATTATTATGGTATGTATATAAACTTATACATCCCTTATTAGAAAACATATCTGAACATATATGTATTTAAATTTATATCTTTTTTTTATTGATGTTAGATCATAATAGTGAACTAAATATCTTTTTTTCAGGCAAATTAGTATCCACTAAAGGTTGTGTGATAAGAGTTGGCAGAGTAAAATATCTTGCACAATGGTTGACATTTGCCTGTTCCAAATGTCATTTACAAACCTTGGTTAAACAGACACAGGAAATATATACATTGCCAAAGAAGTGTGATGTTTGTGGTACATCAAAATTTTACCCGGTTTTAGATTCCCCTTATGTGAAAAGTACTTTGTTCCAAATAATTAGAATACAAGAGCCATTGGATGATGAACAGGTAGCTTTATTCTCTACAAAAAATTTTAAATTAAAACATTGCTAATGTCTAGTTTTCATAATGTAGAATATATATAAAATATTTAAAAAAATAATTATATTAATTTGTTAATATTATCTTGCAGGATAATAAAGGTAGAGTACCTAAGGTACTTGATGTAGAACTTCTAGATGATTTAGTTAATATTTGTATGCCTGGAGATGATATAACACTTACGGGTATTATTAAGGTATTTCTCTAGATAATAGATAGAAGATTACATAAAGATATCTTTTATGAAAGTTATCCCCATAGATATTTTATTTCAAGGTACAAGGAGTCAACGATGGTGCAACAAAGCCACAAGTTGGGTCTCCGTTTTCTTTATATATGCAAGCAATAGCTGTGATTAATAAAAAACATAGATGTAAAAATAAAAGAAGTTCTATGAGCAGTGAAATTTCATTGAAAAATTATTTAGCAATACAAGTATTTGTTGTATATAAAATTTAATTAATATTAAATATTGTAACTTATAAAATAATTATTTAATATTTCTGTTTTTCTCTTTATGTCATATAGGAAATATACAAAGAGCAAAATCTTTTTGCATTGCTAGTGCATTCTTTATGCCCCAATATATATGGTCACGAGATGGTCAAAGCTGGATTAATATTAAGTTTGTTTGGTGGTAATGCAAAACGCACACAATCACGGAATGATATACATATTCTAATGGTTGGAGACCCTGGCCTTGGTAAATCACAGATGTTACAAGCATGCTGTCGGATATCTGTGAAAGGTATAAATGAGATAACTAATATTATTGAAGTTTTTGTTTGCACAATTTATACAAATCTTTTACACAAAAAAACTAAATATTGTTGAAAGGTGTGTATATCTGTGGCAATTCAAGTACATCTTCTGGGTTAACAGTGACGCTCACGAAGGAAACAGGATCTAACGACTTTATTTTAGAACCCGGCGCTTTAGTTTTAGCTGATCAAGGCTGTTGCTGCATTGATGAATTTGATAAAATGTGTTCTCAGCATCAGGTAAAATGTTGTCTATTGTTTAGTAAATGTGCTAAAATACATAAAATACATAAAACTAATGAATGTGATGTAAAGCAGTAGTTTTTTTTAAAAAAAAGTCTATACATCTGTATATACATTATTTTAGGCATTATTAGAATCGATGGAGCAACAAAGTGTTACCGTTGCAAAGTCAGGCGTGTTATGTTCGCTGCCTGCGCGGACTTCAATCCTCGCGGCGGCTAATCCTATAGGAGGGCAATACAACAAAAGTAAAACAGTTACAGAAAACTTGAATATTAGTCAGCCTCTTCTTTCACGATTTGATTTGATCTTCTTATTATTGGATAAACCAAACAAAGTACGCAAACGTTTGCAATAAATATTTTATAATGTCCGTAAGATATACAGGATGGGGCAAAATTGTGGAAACAGTTGAATATCTCGAAAAAAAGCATTTTTCAGACAAAATGTTTCAAACAAAAGTTATAGGGTTTGACCTTGGGTGGCGCCGCCAAGGTCAGATCGAGGTCAACTTTGCTTTTTTAAATAGAAACATATATATTTTTTTATTACGGAATTTTATTCTACGTAGAGAAACAAACAACTTTTTTTTTTAAAAAATGTTTGATATCATCTCTATTTTCTAAGATATTTACGGAAATATCTACAAAATTATTGATTTCAATAATTTTTTACTCGAATTCTATTATCTTTACCGAAAAATAGCAAGAGATAAAAATTGTTTATTTTCTTCTCATAGAACTCTGAGAATTTTTTCAAAGTTTTATATAAACTTTTTGGTACTTCAAGAAAATGCAAAAAAAATGCAGTACTAAAAAGTTAATTAGAACATTCTTAAAAATAATTTTTATCTCTTGTTATTTTTCGGTAAATATTCGGTAATAATTTTTATCTCTTGTTATTTTTCGGTAAAGTTGGTAGAATTCGAGTAAAAAATTATTGAAACCAATAATTTTGTAGATATTTCCGTAAATATCTTAGAAAATAGAGATCATATGAAAAAGTTTTTTAAACAAAAATTGTTTGTTTCTTTACGTAAAATAAAATAACGTAATAAAAAATATATGTTTCTATTTAAAAAAACAAAGTTGACCTGATCTTGGCGGTGTCACTTAAAGTAAAAAATAATACGGCCATCAAATAGATCTTCTGAAACCCTATAACTTTTGTCCAAAACATTTTCCTAAAAAATGCTTTTTTTCGAGATATTCGACTGTTTTCACAATTTTGCCTTACCTTGTATTTATATATATATTTTTTTGCACACACACACACGTACACGCGCGCGCGCACACACACACACACACACACACACATATATATATAATGAATGTAGCGATATTATCTTTTTATTTGCAACAGCACTTTGATAGTCTATTATGCAAACACATTATGACTGTTCACACTAATTCGCACGCAAATTCAAATGCAGAATCTATGGAATTATCTTTTGATGATGAAAGTTCTTTAAGGTAAATAATGATTGTTATTACATACTTATTACATACGTAATTGACATGATTTTTTTTTCAGGAAAAGGTTGATGTTGCCACGGTCTAGTGACATTATACCATCGTCTATTCTACGAATGTATATCTCTTATGCACGACAATATGTGAAGCCAAAATTATCAGTCGCAGCTGCAGATGTACTACAGAAGTACTACTTGGAACTTCGATCTAAACATAAACAATTTGGCAGCATACCGATATTCAACAGACAATTAGAAGCCATGATTCGATTGACTGAGGTTTAATTTTTTTGTTATACAACAGATGTATGAGAATTACATAGAATATTATCTAGTGTTTTATTATTATAGGCTAGAGCAAAATTAGAATTACGTGTTGAAGCGACTGAGTCAGACGCATTAGATGTAATAGATATAATGCGATATGCAATGACAGAAACGTTGGAAAAAGATTTCATGGCGTCAGGATTAAGTTTGGACGGTAAATTTACAAACAGAAAAGTAAGTTTATATTGTAATAAGATTATTAACATAAGTACATAAAATTATTAACATAAGTACATAAGATTATTTAAAGTACTTTTCCTAATTATAAATCTCTGTTTCTGTTTTGCAGCTAAAAGGATTTGTCAGAATACTGGAAAAGAAAGTAAATATGAATAAGCAACAAACATTTTCAGTAAAAGAATTAAGTGCACTTGCAATGTCCGGAAATATTTCGACAAGCGATTTTACTACTTTAATTTCAAAACTAAACGAAGAAGGTATTTTATTAAAAATCAAGAAAGATACGTACAAATTTATTGCTCCATGATAATAGAAAACCTGTACATATATACAACGTGAACGAGTAGCGTAATTTAATGTAACGTATTTTGGTACTATAATCATACGAGAATACAAATATATGTTTCTTTTTCTTATTCTTTTGTTATTTATTTGTAAGAGGAATAATTTATGAGCATGTTATATTGCTAAATATAGCGACAAATAATAAGATAGTTGCTAGGAGACGAGACGTTTCAATAAATTGACAATTATGATTAGAACAAAATCAAAAACAAAATTTGATGTCGGACTTATGTAATTACTATTAAATTCACACAAAAACGTTAAATTTCATGTGCTCTGTGCATATTAATTTACCAAAATGAGAATAGAGAAAATGTAACATTACAAAGAAAAGAAAAACAGCGAGAGAATAGACAGTCAAAAAAATTTCCTAGTATCGTGTGCCACAGAATATGAACGGAAAAATGCCTTGCGATGGTAAAAATCCAAATTGCGAGAGGAGACGCGAATTATTAGCGCAACTAAAATGCTTGATCAGTTCTATGGACAGAAGGTAAAACTCGTTTGATTAGGTAAAAGCTATAAACTGATGACTTATTAAAAATGTGTATCGTAGAAAACCATGTGAATGGGATGAGCCACCAACCGCACCTATTGTAAAATGTCGCGTAGGACCATCTTTGGATCCTTGTGCATCTTATAGTCCTTGTGACTCTTGTGCACCTTGCTGTGTAAGTTTGCAATGCTAATTTTCACTATTTTTTAGAAGAAAAGAATTACGTGTTCTTGTCTGATTAATATTTTTACTTCAGTCAATTGACTGTTTGACGATATATATTGTAGGTACCCGTCAAACGGTGTAAGAGTTACGATCTCCGTGCGAGTATAATGCACAAATGCGAGTGTATCAAGAGAAACGGTCTACAAGATAGGTGTATGATGTGGGATTGCATGGGTAGACCGGAGTGTATGACGAAACTCTATCCGGTTTGCGGGCCAGGTCGCGCTGCTTTACTGAAGCTAACCGATTTGGGTGACACGGAAGTTGTTCTTAAAAAGTTCTATTGCGCGGACAAAGCCAGAGAAGCTGCGTTGGCCGCGTACTGCAGGATAATTTGCAATAATTCAAAGCAAGCCCAGTCACTGGTAGCTTTTGCAAGATACAACGATGACAACAGAAATAACGGAGATTTATGCTTCAAGTCTGTATGCAACGACGAGCCATCACCGTTGCGTCAAGTTTACGTGCCGTCCCCAGCGAATGCTTGCTGTATACCACAGATTTGTTACACGTGTTGTCTACCTCCCTACTTAGGAGAACGTCCTCCTTGCAATTCTCCACCAACGTGTGTACCTTTCTGTCCCCCGTCTACTTGTTTACCGTGTGTACCATGTTGTCCGGCGACTTAATAAAAAAATAAAAAATAAGACATTTTGTAAAAATATTAAGATTATAGTAAGAGATAAATTTTCTGTATGGGATGATTTGGCCATTAATTCTTAATGTTTTAGCTTTATTTTCATATAAACATTGAAAAAATGTGTAGTTTTGTTTCTCTTTCTTTCTTCCACTTGGAGTATCATTATGTTGTACAATCTTTTTTAGATTTAGTTGAGTACAATTCCGGGTAACGTGATCTAACGTATTTTGCGGGCGGACAGACAGCCCATGGTTTAACCAGGCATTCCGGTTGGCCTTGACATTGTGTTAAGGGACAACTATCTTGAAGGCCGTCTCTATGCAGACAACAACATCTGGAATACAATACACCTCCTCGCATTTCCGGGAACAACACACGAGATGTTTTCTGCACATCGAAATTTAACATCTCGATTTAACATAGTAGACGTAAGATACTTAAAATTAGTTATGTACACAAAATGTAATTATAAATATTCATAAAATATTCGTTATTGACCTTGCGTCGATCAAATTTCTCTTTGTCTTTATAACCACTTTCTGCTACAGGATCCTTTATACCTTTTGAAGAAGCACGTTTATCGCATTTGGACTTGCTCCGTGCTTTTTGTTTTTTAATATGTGTTACATGTTGTATAGGTATTGTTATGTACACAGCTGGCGATACCGCTTTTTCTTTTTTTCTTTTTAATATTTGGGCTTGCTGACGACTGAAAATTATATTAACGTAGGAAGCTAGCAATTAAAAAACTTGAATGAAAAGTTACAAATATGACGTTTTGTTGCAAATATTGCGATACAAACGACGAATAGTAATAGAGATATCTACTTCATTCAATTTATATCAAATTTTTTGATACAATTTTCAGAGAAGAAAACTACAAATGAAATACACACACACACACACACACACACACACACACACATATATATATATATATATATATATATATATATATATATAATGAAAATATAAATATAATATTAAACTAACCATTCCAGTTCTGTGATTGCAGCTTTTAATCCGCAAATAATATCGGTCTCATCAATGGTTTGTGTCGTAGACATTACGTTGAATTAATTGTTGAGAACCAGTGAGAAATTGATATTTACGTAGAATTTAATGTTATACAAAAAAACTGGAAATTTTGATCGGGGCCGAGACTTTGAGTGATAATGGTGGCGAAACTTTACATCGTTTATCTTTTGTTATTTTACTTTTTTGTTCGTCTTTTTTTTTTAATTGTAATCGATAACAATCGGTGTTATTTTCATAAAAATGTAGTCGATAAATGTTGCGATAGATCGACTTATATATCGAATGTCTATCTCACTCTAATGTAGCTGAGTTTTCTCAGCGCGTTGCGTTACCTGCAAACATGTATGTGCGACATATCTGACTAGAAAATTATGCACGATTGTGCATCATAATGTACGAGAAGTAAAGGAGTTTTAACATAAACCTAACATATGTGACACCAGAAGAACGGAATACGATCGTGACGTCGCATACGGACTTTGTTCTGTCATGTAAATCATCTCTTCCCATCTCTCTCAGAATCACGCTGTCATTCATGAAGTGAATAAATATCGGTGATAATTTTATCATAAACAGCATCTGTGCGGATTCGCGTATTAACGTGCTGCGCTATCGAGCTGCAGAATATGGATAAGGAGACTGAAGAAGATCGAAGAGGTAATTTCAAAACAGTGATACATATTTAATATTATAGTCCGTTACACAGCACAGTACATAAATTTCCGCTGTAATCATTTCCAACAAAAATTAAGCAACAAAAAAATACGTAGTATCACAAGCGGCCATGTAGATGTTTAATTTTTCTCTAACTTTATCTCTCCTCTTGATATTATATTTTTATGTGAATTTCCGTTCTGTATGCATATAAGACGTATGTATTTACACAGGTTATGTAAATGTTACTTGCGGAGAAGGTGGTCACCGATTTTGCGAGGTTAATATACTAATCAATTAATTAAATAACTACTACAGCGCGCATTGGACTTTAGCTTAACAAGACAACAGTTATTATTTAACCGAATCCATCTATTATGAATGTAGTACTGATTGTGCGTTTCTGTTGTATATAAGAAGTTTATAAATTGTCAAGCTATATTGAAAGAAAAGTAAACATAGAAATATAATAACTACTAATTGCCATTGCGATTATTGAGAACAATCCATTGATAGAATGCATTAGGTAACTTGATTTTTGTATGATTTTTTGTCTATTCTAGGTAATAATTCAGATGAAGAAAAACAAAATATCTCTTCTGAATCATCAGATATAGAAGATTCCGGGATGGAGAGGCTACGTAAATTCCTAACTCAAAAGCTGAGACTTATAGATTCGTCGAACAATGACCAAGACGATGAATCACAACAGAGAGTTCTTCGTGAACTCAGTCTAGATGGAATTGTGGAATATATTAAAGAGCATGAGAATTGTAAAATTATTACTATGGCAGGTGCTGGAATCTCTACCTGTGAGTATATACTTACAAATATATTTTATAGAACATTAATCTATAATGGATTCTTTTATAATTTACTTTGTTTTGTAATCAGTTAAATAGACAGGAATGCTGAATGTAGCATGCAGACATTTAATATATATTTTGTGATGTTATTGCAACAGTACAATACGTTTAAAATATATTTGTTTTAAGGAATATCCCTTTATTACATCAATTTTAATTAAAACATTTACTTCTGATTACAACAATTTCAAATTAATTGTGTTCTCTTTCTGACAAAATAAGTAGCAATTTTTATGGCATTAAATGACCTCTTTTATATATTAATAAAATCCTTGCTATATAAGGATATATTGTTGCATACTTGTGCTAATTACTAAATAGATAATATTTAACCTTTAACCGGAAACCGATATATCGGCGCGACGGCGATGTCAGCTTTTTCCCCATTCAATCCAATGACATTGACAAAAAAGTTCTAGCTCTTAAAATAAAAAGGTTGATAAAAAATAGCCGGTCCTCAGAAGGTTAAATATATTTATCTAGTAATATTAACAGAATAGTAAAAGTATCAATACAATTTTTTCTCAATTCCTTAATTTCTTTCACTCATATCAATCGTCAATTGAATAATCTTTAATTGCATTTGTTAAGATTAGTCATCAATCCAATAATTTTTTATTAAATTTGTTGAAGTTAGTCAAATAGTCTCCAATTGAATTGGCTCATATCAATCGTTAATTAAACATTATCTATGCGTTTTAATAATTTGTTTTATTATAAATGTATACAAGAATGATGTATATGTATATTTGTTTACAGCTGCTGGAATACCGGATTTCCGGTCTCCGTCTAGCGGACTATATCATAAATTAGACAAATATAATTTGCCCCATCCACAAGCTATTTTCGAGTTAGATTTTTTTATAAAAAATCCAGAGCCGTTTTTTACCCTTGCAAGGGAACTATTACCGGAAGGTTTCAAACCTACCGTGAGTCATTATTTTATTCGTCTATTGTGGGAGAAGGGTTTGTTGCTGCGGCATTATACACAAAATATTGACACGTTGGAACGCGTAGCTGGACTACCCGCGGACAAATTAGTGGAAGCTCATGGAACGTTCCACACCGGTCGTTGTCTTAAATGTCGTGCGCCGTATACGCTTTCATGGATGAAAGGTATACTTTATTACATAAAGTTACATCAATGCTTATTTTTTTTGCTAAATGCAAACTATTTAATGAAAATAGCACGAAATAATGATAGACGAGATGACGGTTAATTATGAAACTTATTGATTATGTGGTTTCAAATAATAGAAAAGATAATAGAAGGTGTAATACCAAAATGTGAAGAGTGTGAAGAAGGTGTAGTAAAACCTGATATAGTCTTCTTTGGTGAGATGCTGCCTGAACGTTTTCATTTACTCACTGGCCGAGATTTTGCACAGGCTGACCTTTTAATTATTATGGGATCAAGTTTAGTGGTACAGCCTTTTGCGTCCCTGATAGACAGGTATGTAGAAGTGTTTACAGCAAGAAACAAAGACTTATATATGCAATTTTTAAAATCGTCTTGTCTTCCAGAGTGCGACCCAATTGCCCACGTTTACTTATCAACAATGAAAAAGTAGGCATGCAAGATCGTCTGTCACGTTTCTTAGGTTTGCGACAAGGTTTGGTATTCGATTCTAGAAGCACACATTCAGGACGTGACATAGCTTGGTTGGGTGATTGCGACACAGGTTGTCAATTGCTGGCTGATAAACTTGGCTGGGGGGTAAAACTTGCATATTTTTTACTCTTATATCACTTTTATCCTCTGTTTTTGTGAATTGAAATTTGCATTTCTTGATGTTTGCTTTTAGGATGAATTACGAGCTCTTGTCCAAAGAGAACACGAAAGTTTGAGCACTGAAAACAGAAACGAAAAATAAATAATAATAATGGGATAAAAACGATAATTGCTACAGAGCCGTCTAAGAGAGGAAAAGATCAACATTTTATTTTATATATTTTGTGTTAATCATTGAAGAACATATTTAGAAGAAAAAATTTTGAGGTAGGTAATCTATGTTGTTGGAACTATAATAAAACCTATAATGTAATTAATGTAAAGATTTACCTACTATCGTTCTGTTGGTTTCTTCCATTGCTCCTTAGCAAAAGCTTAGTAACAAATATCAATGTATAGTGTTAGAGATGTTGATCATACAAAATAAGACCGTTCTTACCACTCGTCGCTTCTGTACAAGAAATTACAGTGTCGTAGAGGTATGGGTTAAAATGATGTATATGATGGATTTATCGAAGTAATATATCTTAATATTTATTTAACAATGAACGGTTTAATAATGACTTCTTTAGCTTCTCGTTGATGCATTTGCCCGTCTCCAACAGCTGGTGCTGCCATGGTTTCTCGACCGCAGTATTTCAACTGAAAATGATTGTCCATTAATCCCTATTATACTGGTGAAAGAATTAATCGACAAAGTTGATGTGAAATTTCTTTTTTTATAACACGATGCAACTCACTTGTCTTCCACAAAGATTTTCGAAACGTGACTTAACAAAACTCCACGCTCCCATGTTCCGCGGTTCTTCTTGACTCCAAACGAAAACTGATAACACACGAAATGCAAAACACTATTTCAAAACGCTTTTACAAAAACAATTGTATTCTTAATATACAATAATATCGTATTATTATATAAATCGATTATATTAAATGATTAATTTTATTTTCTTTACTTCTCGCATGTTTGTACTTCTCAATCTCTTCCAATAATTCCTGGATAGGGAATGGACATAAGCTTTCAATTCTAATGATAGCTACATTCTTGTTTTCGGTACTTTCTCTATAATCTTTAAGTGCGTAATAGTGTTTTCCGCTGACTAGAATGACTTTGTTTATGTCATCACTATTCACTCTATCATCTCCTGTAAAGTTCATATAAGAATGTAATTTTTAAGAGTTTAATAAGTTATTTTGTTTTCGAGAGATAAGAGAAAGAGAGAACATACCAATAACAGTTTTGAAGCCCGTCTGAGGTCCCAAATCCGTCAAAGATGATACCGCCGCCGGATGACGTAGTAGAATCTTAGGGCCTATCACAATCAGAGGTTTTCGATAATCTCTCACCATCTGTAATACCATTTTACTCTAATTAGGATACGTACACAATATATTGTAACGTACGCGTTCAAAGCTATCTTCTTTTCAATAATGTATCTTCATTATCTTACCTGCCTTCTCAACAGGTGGAAATATTGTGCTGGTTCAGTGGGATTCGCGACTTGTATATTGACGTCATCGCTGTCTGCTTCATTTTCCTTACTATCAGTCAACTGTAAGAATCTCTCGAGTCTGCATGAACTGTGCTCCGGGCCGGCGCCGTCGTATCCATGCGGTAAGAGCATCGTCAGACCGCTGCTCAGCATCCACTTCGCTTCTCCATTAGTTATGTACGTGTCGATCACGATTTGCGCTCCATTGAAAAAGTCTCCGAATTGAGCCTCCCAAATAGGCAGCGTGAAAGGTGACGTTATACTTATACCGTACTCGAAACCTAACACAGCCTCCTCGGATAGAATACTATTAGCTATCTCCAACTTTCCAGTTTGACCGCTAATTATAGAATTCAGTGGAATGAATGTAGCTAAAAAATTCATACGAATAGTAAGTTTTCGAAATATCGCATATACTCGTTTTATCATCTCGAGTTTGACGATATACACACCTCCTGTGGATTGGTCCACGAGCATTGCGTGTCTCTGTGCAAAGGTCCCGCGTCCTACATCCTGTCCGCTTATTCTCACATTGTATCCTTGATATAACAGAGAACCTATAGCTAACGCCTCGGCAGTCGACCAATCAAGAACGTTACCATTCTCGATATTCTTCAGGCGACTTTGAACATGACTCTTCAACACTTGTGGATAAATGTCCTTTAATATAACACATATAAGTGTAGATTTTATCTCAAGATCGTACGTAGTACTTCTAGGATATGCATTTTTACTTACAAAGTCCGCCGGCACTTGAACGCTCTTTTTTCCCACGTATTCCAATAAGTTTAACTCAACACCCGTATTCCATTGCGTAATATTAGCTTCGGCTTGTTTCATTCCTGTCCATTTTCCAGCAAGGTACCCCGACTGTCGCGACGCATCCTCTGTGGATTCCTTTAGAATCCTATTTAACCATACTGTGTAGCTTTCAACGGTATTTTGAACGTTTTCTCGAGTAAGAACATTGGCAGCTACTAGCTCTTCTGCATATTGATCCGGTATAGATCTAAATTAAGAAGAAAAACAGATTCAATATGAATCTTGAGAAAGATCTGAGTTAAAAAAGAAATTTGTGTTTGTATAGAAAAGTTGAAAAATATGTGTTGTCTTCTTTTTCTTCCAAATTACACACACATATATATATATATATATATATATATATATATATATATATATATATATATATATATATATATATATATATATATATATATATATATATATATATATATATATATATATATATATATATATATATATATATATATATATATATATACTTACGGCCGATTTTGTATAATTTTATATACGAGAGGATTAGTCATAAAGGGATCGTCTAATTCATTATGGCCCCATCTTCTGAAGCAATTTAGATCGACGAAAATATCTTTCCTAAACTGCCTCTGATATTTAAAGGCTATTCTCGTGGTTTTTACAACCATCTACGATATTTCCATATTATGATTGCAAATTTTCATTTCTAGTGTCAGTGAGATAATGAAGTTTAAATGAAGCTTGTACCTCAGGATTGTCGGCGTTTACATGAATCACAGGCGCGGATATACTCTTGGCTAGATCTGTGCAGTACTTCGACGATCGGCCTCTCGAAGCCGGGGTTGTGAAGCCTAACTGATTGTTAATCGTCAAATGAATCGTACCGCCGATCTCGAAATGCGGTACTCTGCTCATGCCTAAGCATTCCTGATTAACTCCTTGTCCAGTATAGGCGGCGTCTCCGTGTACCTAACGAAGCATTCGAGATATTGGAATAATAATACAGATGCGCATTGAGTAACGAGGAAATGATAATAGTACAGACAATGGTAAAATTGATATAGATGATTGGTCTTTCGACGAAACCGATGTTTCTCGCAGCGTGCGATTCCACAACTTACTTGGATGTTTATCGTTTTATCGCTCCATCGCGCGTTCTCGTCCTGACCATATGCACCTTCTCCGATTGTTTGCATAACGCCTCGTGTTTTTCCCATTGATACTGGATTCACTATCTCCAAGTGCGATGGATTGCGAAGCATGGTAAAGTGAATATTCTTTCCGTCCACATCGAGATCGGTGGAACTAATGAGATGACTGATCACGTCTCCTGTACATTTCGCTGCATCCGGGAACTCAGAGAACCCTCGTATTTTACGAAATAATTTTTCTGGTGGAAATTTCAGTAGCCCCGTTAATAAGTTGAGTCGCCCGCGATGCGGCGAGCAAAGGATGATGTGTTCTAAATCATCTAGAATAATAACATAATGGTTTAAAGAGTTCTTATGTCATAAGTGCTGCCAATGCATAAGGATTAAGAAGAACAAATTTAAGTTCCAGTCGCGAAGTCAAGTATGTAGGGTGTAGTACTCGTTAGAATGTGTGTAATTGTTCTGTGTCGAACTATTGAACGACAAGTCGTCGACTGTCGGATTTAATTGAGTGTTTGTTTTTAATTACCGGAAGCGCATAGCTTGAAAAATTCATGAAAGAAGGCCATCATACTCTCGGCTCCTTCTGCTCCGTATTTCTTTAGGCTCACGAATTTTATAGCCAAAAAATTGTCAAAAGCTTGACTCTTGAGCATTTCCACGGCTATTGTTTTGCGCGTTTCGTCGTCCAATGGCTCGGCTAGGGTTCTTTCTACGGTTTCGGCGAACCACTCCCTCTCTTCTTCGGTCTACTCGATCGCAAGTGCAATCTCTTATCATTGCTCTTATCATTATGTGTTGAGCCGTAATATTACGATAGATAATACAAATTTATTTCATAGCAGGACTTCGCTTTGGCGATTTTAGTGAGATTAATAATCCTATTGATCACTAATTTTGTGCGCGTGTGCGACAACTTTATGAATTTGCTAATTACCTCGAGATGGCTGAATTCAGTTCCGATGGTGCTGCTGTAGGTATCATTTAGAAATTGAATAGCTTCTTCTATCGTTCCTTCGTCCTGCTGCGTAAATAAAATCCCTCGGAAACGGACCTTATCCTTTAAATTCAGTCCGAAATTATTCGGCTGCAATTCATGCAGTAACGATGGTTTGCATATTGAGATGGGATCTATGTCGGCTTGCTTATGCCCATGAGTTCTATATGCATCGACTAATCTGTAGAAATTGCTCTGCCTCGTTCGTTCATTTAAGTATTCCTTTGGCACTAAAATACGAGAACAGTAATCACGCTTCAAAATCTCGAATATAGATAACGTTGAGTGAAATGCAAATCGTTATCACAAGTAAACATTAACGTGCATTATTGTTGATTTTTAATGTGCAATAGATAGAGAAGAGGAGTATTTGCACATTCTATCTCTTTTAGGATAATTTTATACAAGGAAAAAAATTCCAAAGTGCATCTATCAGAAAATATTATTTTAATTTGGAGTACATCAAATAAAACATCTTGCAGCAAGATTACTCTTTCTAGAACAGTATTATCTTAATCAAACTGGATGCTCTGTGCGAATCTTCCTTTACCCTATGTGTTTCAGCAAGATAACTTGGGTGATTTTGGTGATGCTCTTATTATACTTTTTCTCTCGAGTTTTTGATAAGGGAAATACCTTCAAAGTGCCTCTGCTGACTTGGTTTGTAGCCATAAACGCCATTTTCATTGTAATATGAGTTAACGCTAGTACAAGAGACCGACGAACTCAATATAAAACGTGGTCTCTTCTTTAGCACGAGTCTTCTGGTCGCGTACATTGTTGATGGCAGCTACAGCGCAACTAAGCTAACTGCTCCGAATGAAACTCTATACGTCACGGTTTATTCGTATGTGTTGACCTCTTCCCTCTCTCTCATGTTTTTATGCATCACTGTTGCGCTCCTCTTATCTGCCTGTTTACACTCTTTATCGAACCCACTCCAATTATCTTTCTTCGTAACTAACAGCCATATAGAATTTATTACTATTCGTTGTGATCATCTTGTTACAAATAAATTTGTTACAAAGCAATATTAAATATTGGTGTATATAAAAAAAATTACGAAAATTCAATCGTTCTAATATTAATTTAAAATCATACATGACATGTCACATAATTATAGCAATAATTTTATAACAAATGATCGGTTGAAGTCGCAGGAATCATCACGCGGCCATCCTATAATTAATACAAATTATGCAATCATAGATTTTATTTACTATAAGATATATATATATATGCAATTTGGTCGATGTATTTTATATGGGATTTAAATTTCTGGATACGCCGTCCCGACCAAGTCCTTTCCTCTGTATCTAAATTTATGCGTCACTACGTTGAATTTAGTTCCTCCCAAAGATACAGGACATTTCCCATCTGGTCTCGCGTAGAAACAGACGGTGTAGAGCGCCATTTCTAATTCAGGTGAAGTACCGATGAACATAGCCGTAACCGGTTTGTCGTGACCATTGAATTTCGCGTGTATTTTAACAATGGACCCTTTCTGCAGAACAAAAAGCGCGCTTACATTCATATATTCGTTTAAATAAAATGGTATTTAACTTTAAACTGTGTGATTAAAACGAACTCTGTGCAATGTAAGCTCTACTGAGAAATCACTTACGTCTCCTAAGTCAACTTTGTTGATATAACCCAAATAGTCGACGCGTCTTTTTGTTTCTTCTGCGTTGAAGTAAATCCAATTATGTAGTCCGAGCACTTCTGTACTTGAATCCGTTTGTCTCGTTTCAGCCATGAAAACGTGCTCGAATCCGGTGCTACCGATCTTACCTTGTCCGCGTGAGAATAGATTGAACCAGATTCTCCTCAGTGTGTCTTTGTACTCGTAATAATCCTGTCTCACGAATCCTTTATCCGCGAGGAAACGCATCGCGGCGGCCATTACGTTTGTACTTAAGAAAGTATCGACGAGGAGACTCTCCTCTTGTCTTTGTGCCGGACTAATGTATTCGTTCGTATGAGTGTCCAATTGATAATTGTCAAATATAGATAGGACTCTCTGAATCGTAGGAATCTGAAAAGCTTCGGCGCTCACCGTAAGCAGTCTGTAAATACGCAGTCCGATTAATTCATGAACACATTGAGAGAACCATAAAAAAATTTTGCTATAAGAAAAGATATTCTATCAATATGATCCTTACGACTGTGGAGCTTGGTCTATCGGGCTACTGCTGGTAGTCTGCTTTTGCAGATTAAGTGTTATATATCGATTCGCATTGTTCGTTTCTTTAATATAAAGCGCCTCGGAAAGCTTCTCCAAGTCCTCATCGGTAACTGTATTTCCTTTACTATACGTTGGATTACTGGAGTATACTTTGTTAGTTGGGTTTGTAACACCCGCGACGGGAGAAGCGCCAGCGGGAGAAGTACTTCCTGATGATGCTGGCCAAGGATTGCTAGGTTGTACCGGTCTTCCCGTAGTTCTGCGTTCATTCTCGCCTAATTCCAATGTGATAAATAATAAGATAGTAAATTTTTCTTCGTTGTTTAACCGGTTTAATCGATTAATATGTTCAATGCATGTTCATCAGCGTCAACCTTATCTCTCTCTTATGTCAAGAAAGACAAGATAAAGCAATAGTTGCTCGAAAGCAACATAAAACAACATAAAAAGAAATACCTGGAACGGGTTGCCTAGGGAGTCCTATAGGCGAAGAAGGTCTGCTACCACCAGCGGCAACGTCGGCCCACGATTTTCCTGAGCTCGGGGAAGAAGGCGTACCCGGTATGTTTTGATCTGCTCCAGTCACACCTGCAGAGTTCAGGCCTGATTCAAGCACGAAAGACAATCAACTCCTTCATTACACTAAATTAATTTAGTTAATCGATTCTATATCTCGAGATTAATTATCTAGTTCTATGTATATCTCTAGCTATTATAGGGTGCTTACGATAGCGAATTCGGAGCGAATGAGATCTGGATCTGGACAGAGTAGTATATGCTCCCATCTACAACTAAAGCATCGTCTACAATATGTGGAGTAAGCTTGGAGTAAGAAGTAAGCCGTAAGAATTGGCCAATCGTAGTTGATTATTATAAAAATAATCATCTATGATTGGTCAATTTCTTATTCTTACTTCCTACTTCTTACTGCTTACTTCCAATGTAGACGTCCCTTGACGTATGGAGTAAATCGTACAAATGTTAAATAGCCAGATATAATAAAACATAATTCGAAATAATTCAATTGTGGTATGTATTAACGATAGAAGACAATTTATTTAAAGTTTATCATATATAATTTGTAATTCAATTAAATTTTTTTATATTAAAAATCGTTCTTACTGAGGTAATATTTGGTATATTATCTGTGATCACATTTATTTTTTTTTTTATAATAGAATTTCAATTTGATTCATTATCTAACCTTTAATTCCATAGGAATAAGGGTAGGTCCATTTTTATGTGCTTAATAATAACGATCTTTAATATAAAAAAATTGAATTAAATTACAATTATATAAGATAAACTTTAAATAAATTGCCTTCTATCGTTAATATGTATCACAATTGAATTATTTCGAATTATGTTTTATTATATCTGGCTACTTGACGTTTTGCTGTACGATTTGCTCCATACGCCACTCTTTGCTCCGAATTGCGGTATGATACGGACAGGAGTAGAGCAGGAGCAGCCATATTGAATATATTAGTTGTAGATGGGAGCATATAGTACTCTATCCGGATCGAGATCTCACTCCGATCATACTCCGAACTCACTATCATAAACACCCATAGACAATAATATACTTGTCACCTCCTACATATATAATAAGAAAATAATAACGGTGATTGAACATACCCGGCGATCCCACACTCGGTTGTCTAGAATACTCAGGTTGTCTTGGCGATTCTATAGGCGAAACGGGTCTACTGCCACCGCCAGCAACGTTGGCCTGCGATACTCCTGAATTAGAAGAGGAAGGTGTACCTTGTCTGGTTCGATCATCAGAAGTGGAAATCCCAGCGATAGAACCTAAAAAATAGATTAGATTGTGAGATATATCGTATAAGTTAAGAAATGTGTGCATAAAAGAGCGTACCAGGTGTCACATGAGGTTGTGCAGGCTGCATGGAAATTCCAGGCATGCTTCCTGGTCTCGGACCTACGGAATTTCAGTAATGACGTTTGTGACGAAGAACTTTGACATTGTTGGAATCTTTTAAACCAAATGATACAGACCTGTGTTTGATGGTTGGGTTGGTTGAATCGGTGCATTTCCTGGTGCGTGAGAAGCTGCGGGTCGATTCGTTGTTTCTGGATGTGGCCTCGAACCTGCAGGTATATTGGGCTGTGTTTGACCACCACTTGTCGGTCCTTGAGGTCTTTGAGGTACTTGAGATCCTTGAGGTCCTTGAGGTCCTTGAATTCCTTGAGGTCCTTGAGGTATTCTCGATGGTTGATTTCGAGATAGTTCTCCAGCTCCAGTAAGATCTACAACCCAATCTCGATAATTCTGATCATTACCACCGACTCCCGGTCTATTTGGCTTCGAAACGGCCATGTCCTGGCCGACTTCTGTTCCCGGATTAGGTCGACTAGGTCGTGCATTGTTTCGTACAAGTCCAGTGGTTCCTGCGCCAATGGCTAGTCCCGGGTTAGTAGCACCTAGTAATAACGAAAGTTTGCATTTTGTTTTAAAGATTCTCATGTAATTTAACTGTATGGAAATTTTCGAATCTTGGATATTATTTGAAATTAGTATTTTCTCCAAGATATTGATAAAATCTTGGGAATTTTTTTAATCACTATATTTGACGAAAAACAAACATGAGAATATAAATACAGATGGATTATATTGTAACAATGGTTTGATTTGCATGATTTGCATGACTTTTCAATTGATTTACATGATCTTTAGGATTTTCAAGAATTTCTGACCTTGAATATTTAAAGCACACACACAATATAAAACTATTATACATTATATATTCAAAATAATTTAATGTGTTTATTATTAACAATACCTATTACAGCGGCTCCTGTGTTTGCAGCCGGTACTGTCGATCCTTTGGCTGTCGTGGCTGAATCTGGTATCGGACTTACAGTGGGTTGAACGTTTACGGGAGTCGGTGTCGTGGTAGTAGTCGTAGTAGTCTCCTTTTTCCAAAACTTCCATCCCGCTTCGCTGTTTCCTAAGACATAAATCGAAATTAGCAAAATCTTATCATTAAAATTACAATTCAGCGAATATCATTAAAATTAAAATTCGGCAATTACAATATATATGATACATCTTGATTATAGATTTGCTCATATCGTAAGGAAAGTTTCATAGAGTTTGAGGAATATGAAAAAAAAAGATACTTATTAGTTTGATATTCTTAAGGAAATCTAGGTCTGTTTATACTTTCGATGTTATTTATCACGTTTACACTTATGACGATCAGGTCAAAGTGGTCATTTGAGATATCAAAGCAATACAGTCGCTTTAATAGCATATTGTAAATTTCAAATAATACAATTTTCCTCTAAACGTTTGTTACTGATAATATTTACAGAAACTCTTAAACACTTAATTACATTTATTTTATTTTGTCGGACATTTTAAATATTTGATTGACAATAATTATTTCAATTTTCATGCCAATACTTTCAAAGTTATCACATATTTATTCATCTTATATTTATCTATATTTGATTTTGCATCATTCTTTATATATCCAGTTTCCAACACCAAATAAGATTTCACCGTAATTTACATATATTGAAAAATTCTATTTCACGCATACAATACATGACCTATGACGCATACTTAAATATTTCTCGGTTTTTCTCTTTATTTTACCACATGGTATTCTGCTTCTCAATGTCTTTACCATGATAAAAAAATCTCAAGAAATCGACAGAAAAACTTACAGAAAAACTTACCAATAAAGAGTGACAACGAAATTACGAAGATAATAAAATATCGATTTGTCACTGTCATGATTTATTATAAACACTGACAAATGCTACGTCCCCAGATTGATCCTTTACAATTTACTATAAAATATAGTTTGTTAATTTGTAATCGATTTCTCCCGATCCTGGAGATGGCGACGCATGAACGTGCTATATGGTTCATGCGTGAAGTAAGACTGCGTCTCTATCCACAATTTAACTGCCTTGAAGCAATCAGCTTACTTTCCCCTGGCCTCTCCAACTCATATATAAGTAACACGACTCCAGACTTTAAGAGAGATCGTAGCTGAAACGACCATGACAACAGGATGATGTCATTTCTTGATCTTGAATTCAGTTCTATTAATTTCTCGAAGGATATCTCAGGATTCAGCATGAGTCATAATTTTTTAAAGCAAGAGAAAAGTTATTAAATGTTATTAAATAGACTCCCTAAAAAATTGAAAGTTGTATATCAACAAATATTTTATCGAGAGAAAGATATGTGTGAGATGTCCATTTTTTAAGATGTCCGTTTAACCATTTTTTGTTACATGAAAATGTTAGAGATAGAAAGTATTAAAATGTGTAGAAAAACAATTTTAAATAAAAATTAAAAATATGTTTTATAACAACCTTATTTTTTAAGTTTTCTAAAAGTTTTTTTTTAATTATGAAGATATACGAATTAGTGTACACCAGTAAAACGTAACTAAGCTCAGTTATCTGCAGTTTAATATATTTTATATAATACATTTTACTTTGTTTAAAATATTTCCTATGTCTAGTATTTGCATCTTATTATGAATATGCGTAATTAATATTAACATTATTGCAGCACAAGAGTTTCAGCACCGCCTCTTCGTACAACTATGCCGTCGGTTTGCTTATTCTCTTCAGCACATTGAATCTTACATAAAAAGATCCTAGAATATAAGTATTTTAATTAAAATTCACCAAAACTATATATATATATATATATATATATATATATATATATATATATATATATAAAAAGATTTT